TAATATCCCTCACATTAGTACAGCACTCTATATATAGCAACTCACTTGTACGCATGTCGCTCTGCCGCCACATCTGTACAAAACCACTTCCACTACAAACCAAGCTTCTCTGACCCACGTGGTCTGCCTAGCATTGACCACTGAGCTTCTATCTACCGTGTGTCTCTTGCTGAGCTGGGTGCCGTGGGAGATGGAGGAAGCAACAAAGTGTAAAAAGTGGGCGGAGCTGACCCTGGACCATTTACATTTATCTGGGGAAAGAGCTCTCCAGGTCTCCAGGTGTGTAAAACAGGACCCATCGGGTGTCAAATGACCTTGGGATTCAGAAAAGACAGGCCAAGGCACGGCGCTGTTGGCAGAAGAGGTCCACAAAAGGAAGAAGAGAAGCCCCCTGTAGCCCAGCCTTTTACACCGACCTCACTCAGTCTTCTAGAACAGATGTGATGAGCGCTGCTGACCCGTCAGCCTTAGCCTCTCAATGTGCTTCAGAGAACTTCCAACAGGAAGGCTGGCTTCTCTGGGCCTGAGGGCTTTCTCCAGTGCCGGCGCTTTCCAGAGGAGCTACACAATGAACACTGGCTGGGAAACTCACATCCTCTGGGGAGCAGCCTTCAGGGACTGAGAGGAGTTGGAGTGTGCACACCCCAGCCCCACCCCGGGAGGATTGTTCTTGAGGTGCGTGTTTTACACTCTTCCAACAGCTTCCCCCTTGGGATGAAGCTGCAGCTGCCCATTGTGTTAACTGGGTGACCACAGCCCCTTTACTGGTTGCTTCCCCTCCCCTTATCACCGCCCACCCCTCTCCCGGGCTCTCCCTGGTTTACCTCCTCCCCACCGCCCACCCCTCTCCCGGGCTCTCCCTGGTTTACCTCCTCCCCACCGCCCACCCCTCTCCCGGGCTCTCCCTGGTTTACCTCCTCCCCAGTCAACTTGCACTCACATCCTTGTCTCAGGGGCTGCTTCTGACAAAACTCAAACTAAGACATCCCCCTATTTCCTGTGACTGGATTAATATTGTACCCATTTGACTCATGAGAAAACTAAGTCTCAGACTAATTATCTGGCCTGAGGTCACATAGCATGCATGTGATTGTCCTCGGGCTTGACCTCCCGTCCCTCTGTACCACCGCACCTGTCCTTGTAGCATACTGAGAGAAGTGAACACATAAGCATGTTGCTGGATCCCAGGGACACTGCTCACCCTGACTCCCACCTCCGCCCCACTCAGGAAACTGGGATTTTCTCCTGTCTCAGCCTCCTGAGTAACTGGGATTATAGGCCTGCGCCTCCACGCCCAGCTAATTTTCTATTTTTAGTAGAGATGGGGTTTCTCCATGTTGGTCAGGCTGGACTCAAACTCCTGACCTCAGGTGATTGGCCGCCTCGGCCTCCCAAAGTGTTGGGATTATAGACATGAGCCATAGCACCTGGCCCCAAGTAGAAATCTTATACTCCACGTGGGCCTGAAGTGCAAGCCAAGAAATAGGAAGCTACCCTTTCTGGTACGTGGTGTTGCTGAGAAAGTATTAGCTGTACATTGTTTATCCAGATCCATAGAAAACAGCTTTTACAAGCACAGTCCCAACTTTTGGCAATTTTTGCAAATCATTTGGATTAAGGTAACATGCAGCTTTTGTGTTGGGGTGAGTGTGAGTGTGTGGCTGGATGTGAAATTTTACTGACAACCAAACCATAGCTGGGAAACTTGAAAGTGTTGTCAAGGCTCAGGGAGCTGTCGGTAAACCCAGGTAAAGTTTTGGCTCAGTTAAGAGGTAACTCGATCCAAGTCTTGAACAAGATGGAATTATCACCAGCAGGGGCAGATGGATGGGGTAAATCACATGAAATCAGCCTAAACTTATTAAAAGCCGACTGCAAAGCTTCTTCCATTTATGTCCAGTGTTCTAGTTATCTATTGCCGGATAATAAATCACCTGAACGTGTGAGTCAAGAATTCAGGCAGGGCTTGGCTGAGAGATTCTGTTCCACAAAGCATCAACCAAGGTTATTCACAAGTATTCAGCTGGCAGATGGGCTGGTCTGAAGGGTCTGTGATGGCTTCACTCACATGTCAGGCACATTGGTGGACACGGCTAGAAGGCTGGGCTTGATGGGGACTGTTGATCAGAGAACCTATCCATACATGGTCTCTCCAGCCTGGTGGCCTCAGGGCAGTTGGACTTCTTACACAGCAGCTCAGTGCTCCGAAAACAAGTGCACAGTGAACAACCCGGAAGCCACATGGTTTTTTATGACCTGGTTTTGAAATCACACAGAGTCACTTCTGCTGTGCTGCTTGTCCAAGTGGTCACGAGCCCAACCAGATTCAAGGGGAAGGGACTTAGATCCAACCTCTCAGCGGTAGGAGCATGTAAAAGTACAACATCCAGATTGGGTTAGAAGCAAAGAAGGGGCTAGGCATGGTGGCTCACACTCGTCATCGCAGCACTTGGGAGGCTGAGGTAGCTGGGTCACCTGTGGTCAGGAGTTCAAGACCAGCCTGGCCAACATGGCGAAACCCCGTCTCTACTAAAAATACAAAAAATTAGCCAGGCATAGGTGGCAGACACCTGTAATCCCAGCTACTCTGAGGCAGGAGAATCGCTTGAACCCAGGAGGCAGAGGTTGAAGTGAGCTGAGACTGCACCACTGAACTCCAGCCTGGGCAGCAAGAATGAAACTCCATCTCAAAAAAAAAAAAAAA